GAGTACAAAGTTACAGTATCTAACAAGGTAACATGTGTGCCAACAGAAGTTTAAAATCTTACTGCTAATTAGTAAATACAAGTGGGATTTTCCACTCTCTATAGTCAGTGTTCCAAACACAATGCTAAAGCTGCTGTTTACAGCAGGATACAAAGCCAAAGATATTTTAAGCATAATTTTGTAACTCTGAATTATGCAGCTTCATGTTGAGGGAAACTATTTAAATCCCACAGCACAGAAGTTGACATATTAAAAATTAAACTGCTATCAAGGCATTCAGAGATCGATATGCAGAGCACTGGCACAAAACACTCAGTTCTATTTTTATGCCATTCTTGCTTTGTGACTTAGCATAAAGACAAACTTTCTTTTGTCAACTCAGGAAGGATGTAAGTCTCAGAAAATGAAACAAATTTTTCATACATGCATACAAAGCTGGTTTGCTTTGGCAAAGGGGCTGGCAAAGGGGCCTCAAATTTGTCATCCCATGCTACTTTTTCTTTTTTTAATCAGGTTAGTCTGTCACTCCACCCTCTCAAACAGGATCTGTCAAAGTCCCTGGCTGGTTAGTGATGCATGTTTGACTTTTCACACCTCAGATCAGCATCAAGTTTAACAGTTTCTGCATGGCAGGCATGAAGCCAGATCAGTTATGTATGAATGTATGTATGTATCTCACAACATGCTTTCAATATTTACTCTAATAAGATCTTTTAACATTTATTCCAGAGCTAGCCTAGTGGAACATTTATATTTACTACTGAGTTAAAGTGAGTTTGACATGAATCTTGCATTACTTGTTAACACACAACAATCTTGTGTTTAAGATATTTATAAATAAATATGTAGATGGCAAAGGAAATAGATAATGATCAACTGAAGTCATCTTAGAGATGTACAAAACCTGAGATACTGAGTTCACACACTGAATTATGCATTCTGACAAGAGGTAGAGTATTTAGACACTTTTGCATGACAAGTCATACAAGCAACTGTTCCATATCATTATGCATTTTTGTCCTGGCCCCTACACACTGCTTCCCACAGTCAAGGATAGTGGTCTACTATCTCCTAACCCTTGTTTGGTAACTAGAACATAGCTGCAAAACCTCCACAAATGCAGCAAAGAAAAGGCTAAAAGACTTGAACTAGCTTGTTTTGCACTGAGCTTTTGTGATCTGTCAGTAACTTCAGCTAACAGATTTGTTAGACATGTAAAACCTCACCAATTCCTGCTTCAGAAGACTTGCTTCAAATTACTAACCATCACTGTTAACAAAAGGCAGTCAGGAGCTATGAACCCATTAATGGTCAGTTGGTTATCTACAGATTCTTTACTGATTTAATGATTCAAGAGAAAGCAGCACATTTGAGGCCTCTTGGCAACAGTTTTTAAAAAATGTTTTGCTCCAATCCAAGATTGATGTAAGCCACCCAAAGACATTTTCCATGTATCAGAAGAGAGCCTGTAATGGCAGAGAATTATATTAAAAAGAATCAGCTCTTTCATCACTCCCTGTTCTTAAAATTCATGAGTAGAAAAGCAATAATTCACATCACTTTCGTGTCATATACTAGAGACTTAATTCTGAAATAATTTACAGATTTAAAACTCATATTTTCAGGTAAGTTTACAAAATATTTAACACACAACAGAAGCATTCATAACCAAACTAGTTATTGGGTTTGCATCTTAAGATGTTTAAAACATCTTAAGTGAAGCAACAAAATTCAATTACGAACAGGATAAACACAAATAAGAAATCTAGAAATTGTGTTGTTAGACATTGGGCAGTAGTTCTTCCACATGACTAAAAGAAAGGAATTAGGCAGAGCTGTTGAAAGGCTGTGACAAAAGATTACAGAATTAGTTAATGAAGTCATAGCCTTATCACTTGATTTTTTAATTATTTTTTTAAATACAGGTAAAGAATAGTTTTCAAGACTAAGAAAATCCTTTCATCTTAGTAGCTAACTGCTACAGTTGGCTTTCTATGCTAAAGACAACTTCTTAGATCAAATCTAAACCTTACATATCAAATAGTTATTTAGAAACAAAATCTGAATCAATTTGCCTGTGACAGTTTAAAGTTCAACTCCTTTTACATAGGACACAAATACTGCTTTTCTGCAATTTCAATACACTTCCAGACAAATCAAATCAGTTAAATAATTTTAAACCTTTGCCTTAACAGAGTCCTTGAGCAAATACTGATGCCACCACAATCATTGCTTCCATCATATAATGAGTTTCCAGATATCTAATCTCACAAACTGACAAAGTATTATTAGAGAAGACAGTTATAAGCCTGTGTTGTAGTGCACAAAATATTTCAAATAAGTCCTGTTTGAGAAGTTAGTTATCCTTACAGACAGATCTTAATCCCACAACATAAAGTACTATAAAATTTTTATTAATTAGGTTTATAACAGCTCCATGACTTGAGAATGTAGTCGTGGTATGTGTTGTGGTGCTGCATGCCTCTGCCACCCAGGACACTAATTTCTCTGATCTGAGAAATGCTCATTAAGCCCTGGCCTTGATGAACTGCACTTGGACTAAATTCCCCTTGAGCTTATCAGAAACCCTGTCTGTTCCCAGGAACTAACAGGTGTCTAATGAACATCTGCTTTTAACAAACAACCTTGGAACTTTTAATTTTTTTTAATAATAACACAAGTGGAATAATATTTTCTTTGTTGAACAGTCAAAGAAAGTTACCAACTCAAATTGGCCAAAATGGAAAATTACTACAACTGAAGCCCACTCTCTTGCTACCCTATAAACAATGGTCCAAAGTGACGTTTTTGAGCTCCTGGTTATAAGAGGCTAATGCATTTTAAAGCCCATCGTCTGACAACCCTATAAACAGCAGTCCACAGTGAGATTCCTTTGAGCTCTTGAATCCCAGAAGATAAGGGACTAATGTGTATGTCTCAAACACAGATAACTGGATGGCTGTGGAGCCAGCCAAGGACTGTTATTACTAAAAGAAAAGAATTGCTCGTAAATCCAAGGACTGTTGGTATTAACACACCATGAGAAAGAACAAGGTTTGGCTGGAGAAGGGGGGGGTCAAGTGGAGATGAAGAGGCACTTTTCCTTTCACAGTACAATGCAGGAATGAGTGGCAGGAAGTGGACATGGACTATAGGGTGGGAATAAAACCAGGAAAGACCTCCAAAGTCCCCTGACACATTTCCAGAAAGGCCTGACAGAATGGACTGTGCATAATTAATTTACATCATGAACACTCTTCTCAATAAACTTAGTTGTATATAGCATAAAACTGACCAAAGAAAAGCCCATTTACTTCAGATTAATACAGTATATTGAAACTATTAGGCATAATGAATTACAAAGAACTAAGTGTTATAAAGGCCCCTATTTAGAATTATTCAACAGTGAATTTTTTTGCATTTCAAGTTCCAGTCAAAATATTTACCTGATAATGAAATTATATATTATTTTATAAATTTGTGTTTTATGAACTAGTCAAAAGAAAACAGAATATTTGAAAACATTTAACAGTCATCCACCATGACCTAAGTGGCTATGACAAGGTACAGATCTGGCAATCTTAAGTGTTCTGGCTAACTTCATATGTTATTATAATAGATGTTTTAAAATTAAAATTGCTACAAGAATAAACCCTTGTCTCAAGCTATGCTTACACCACTCATGGCAACTGTGGTGCTCTTGTTACCTACCTTGGCAAGACAGGATTAGTAACTAAGTCAGCCACTAAAGCAACATCAGTGACCAAGACTCCTTTCTAGCCCCACTCAACTCCCTGCGATGGATTTTGCGACTGACATCATTACATTCACCAAAAAAAAGGATAGTTTTAAACTTTCATTTTGCTTAATCAAAGATACAACACATCTAAAACTCTACGCCAGCCTACAACAGATTTACACACAATCAGAATCAGGTATCTGTTTTAGAGCATTAGTTAGAAGCCCATTTTTCAGTGTTGTTTCAGGATACAAATCCCACTTTTACACTGAAACTTAAGTAGACACTACAAGTAAGTAAGAGAAAAGTCACTAAAAAAAGGACATTTTTTAGGACTTTTTTTTTAAAAAAGGGGGGAGAAGTAGAAAATTCAGTTTTGACACACTACTGTATCTCTTATATTTGGACAATCCTCATTAAATTAGTGGCTACAAATTGCATTTCCCTCCATTTGCCTTCTATACTGCATAAAAGAACACTGCCACTCCTTTGGGGCAGAGAATTTGCCCCAGTCAACAAAGCTTCCTGTTTTCTGTACAACAGTTCAGAATCACAGAATTGTCTGGGCCTGAAGGGGTTATTAAAGATCACCTAGTCCAACTCACCTCCTGTGGCCAGGGACATCTTTCAGTAGGTAGTTGAGCAAAGCCCCATCCAACCTCTTCTAGAACACTTCCAGGGATGAGGCACCCACTACTTTTCTGGGCAAGCACTTACAGTGTCTCATCACACTCACAATGAAGAATTTCTTTCAATATCCCATCTAAACCTACCCTCTTTCACTTTAAAGTCATTACCCCTTGTTCTATTCCTACAGGTCCTGGTCGGATTTTTATGCACAGTGATCACAGAAACAATTTCAAAAGGGAATTAGAATCACTTAATCCTCTACACAAAGAAACTCCAGTAATCTGCATTTATGTTGTTCCTGACAAATTTGTTCATAACCTACTCTTTAAAACTACCAGGGTACCATTTCACCCACCCAACTGTTTGTTTAGCACTTGGCATGACACTACATTAGAAGATATGAAAATTGATGTTCAACAATGCAACACAAAGTGATAGAAAAGGCATCTCAGTTTAGGTCACTAGTGTGTCTTATTCAAACTACTTTGGGGCCCAACAGATTGAAACTCAAACCCAGTGTAAGCCCAGTTTCAATTATGCACCAAGTTATGACTTGGACTGCATCAATAAGATCTGATCTCGCAATGGCACGTGGTGTGCTAAGGGCACTGCAATAACAACCAGTCCCTACCGTTCCCGGTTAAATTTGAGGGAATGAAGGATAGCCGGCCTCTTCTGGCGCAAGTTCCACAGGTGTAACGTGTCATCAGCCAAGGCACTCACTAGAGCTCCCTAGGAGAACAAAAACATTTTAGTCAGCCTGTTTTCAAAGCCCTAGGAACAGTGTAGCATCACAGTGGAAATGCATTACATATTTATTACCAGGATGAAAAAAAACATATAAGCATGTGCATCAGTTCCATAGCACAGCTAGGTTCTAAGTAGTAGGAATGAGATAAGTGATGTGGTCATACGTTCAGCTCACTTATATTTGGTTCAGTGCTATACTGAGAGGTGATGGGGAAGGAGCTTTTTCCAGTGTGTGCTCATCAGTTTCCTCATGCCCATCTCTGCAGAGAAATCAGGCAATGAACTGCTAATATCTGTGTGCTGACAAAGCTAGCGAGATCCCTCTAAAAACCTGTCCCTAGCTCAAGAACAGCACTGCTGTCAAATCTCAGCTGCTACATCCCTAGAAGCACATCTGAAACTGAGGCAACATTATTCAGTTCATGTCTAAGACAGTAACTTGATCAAAATAAAATTAACTACCTACTGAAACTGCTAGTACTGTGTAAAAAGTACTTCACCACTTCCAGAGATAACTTGCAATGCTCAAGGATATGAAAAGATATCCTAGTTCTTGCTTATACCAAAAGAGTACTGCATTGACAAAGATATTTTCAGGAGTTAGTCAAGCATTTTCCAAAGCTAAAAAATTTAATTTATTTATAATTGTTATTGCAGTTTGTTATTTGTACTACACCACTTTTATCAGCTAATTTTAATGTTTGCCTAATGAAAAATTAAAGAAAATGTGCTCCATTTCTTCTCTGAATTACACATAAATCATTTTACTAACCTCATTAATCAGGAACTGAAGTTGGATTACTGCAGCTCCACTGTCATGTTGACAGTAGCATTCAACTCCTGGCCGACCAAAGCTGGAATTAGTACCATTAAGGAATAATTGTTGCATGTAACAAACAAAACACACAGCATAACCAACATTTTCACTTTCACTAATACCACATTCACACAGGCTAACATCCTGCTTCTAGCTAGTGCACTCAACATATCTAACCACACAGAGGTGAATAGGTACCAAAACAGTCATTTATAAATGCAACAAAGTAACACAAAAAATTCAAAAGGCCTACCTTGAAATATAAAAAACTATATTTAACTGCTTAATTTACAGAGATTTAAGGATTATTCATCACGAAGAACTTGAAGAATGATGAAGCAGTTATTTTAACAATGTCAACTATCAGGACTAGAATGAAAGGAAGTTAATCTAAATAAGCATCATAAACAAATTATTACATTTTTCAAATGCCAAAGGATCTTTCTCTCCATTTAAACATTACTTAAGGATGAAAAGATCTGAAAATGCAAGACATGTTAAAAAAAATCTGCTGTGACAGAGATGAGATCAGTAGTCAAAATATGGAGGAGTCAATGGGAAATTTATATAATGTAAATTTTCAGGATCTCTGTATCAAGACTTCCTGGATTCACACCAGCTATGAGACAGCAAAAGCTTGCTCATTTTCACCCTCACACATAGATCAATCCTATAATTCCATAACGAATATTGCTGGAGGCTGCAGCAAAACAGATTCTTTCACTTCTCCATACTTAACTCATCTTTTAGTTGCAAACATTCTGTACTTGAAATGTGGTTATGCACCTGCTTCTGACACAAAATTAAGTTCTCCAGCGTTTAGGAGATCGAGCAGAAATGAGAGAGGAATTAAGCAAACTGGTCAGTATTTCACCATCATTGTATGCCCAGGGTTTCTGGACTGTAATTAGTCAGTGCTGAACACTTCTTGTTTTAAAGAAACACCTCAGCATTCAGAAGAAAAGAAATTTTTCCAAAGCTTTATGGAAAACAGGGACTATATGTACAATTTTTTCTCTCAGTATATGCTAAAAATTAATAAAGCAGTACAATTCTCACCCATGTTGCAAGGTTTCCATTGACTGAGAAATTGCTGAACAAAACCTAAGTGGATAATATGTGCATTCTTAAAAAACACGTGCATTCACTCTACAGACAGTTGAAAGGCTGAAAAGACTATTAGGGTGCATGCAAATCAAACCTCAAACATATCTCCTGCTCAGCCTCTAAGCTGGTAAAAAAGTACAACAGCAGGGAGAAGTCTGTTTTAACACACTGCTATATTTTATCTTTTAAACTTGAACCACATTCTTCTAGACTAATAAATCTGCATAACATCCAACTAAGTGGTGAGATACACACTAGACAGATGTTGAATAATCCACCAAACTTAATACCAGCTTTCTTCCCCAAACAGAATTAGTAATTTAATTTTGTTCTGCCATGGAAGGACTTAAAGAGTCAGCGAGCCTCACCTGTTTTTTTGCTTTTATTTTACATTTTACAAACATACTTTTTTTACAAAGAAGTTGTCTGGATTCTAGTCACAGTTTATGGCTTAAAAAACAAAAAGAGTGGAGGGGGTGTTGTCCCCATAAACAATGCCTTCCTACACAAACTCACAACACTTTTAATGTAAAGTCATTGCTTTTACATTAACTATGGATTGACTGCACAAATTGCCAGACTGAAAAAACCCACAAGAAATAAGATAAGTTTCAGAGCTGATTGCCTTCGGCCTTGCTCATGCATCTGCATTCGCTTGAATTAATAATTATTTGAACAAGTAGACAAAAACTATTTTCAAATGTGAAATTCAAATGCTTACAGGAACTGAATTTTAAAACTTGTTTACCTTCATTGACACAGGTAGCTTTCTAATAAAAGATTTTCCCAGCCCCTCCCTGGAACAACATTTTCCAACACAATTAAATGCAAACCTTGTTTGTAAACCTGGAGTTTATTTGGAATTAAGACTCTACAGCTACCTTGCTTCAAAATAAGAGGAATATGACCCAGAAAAACGTAAGTCCATAGACTGCTCAAGTTACTTCTTCCTTCAAATTCTATTCCTCAGATGCTTTCTGCAAGCACTTATGATGCAAATATTTCTGGAAGCACTCTTATAACTAGTCAGTAAAAATTTCATTAAGAATATTTCAGTGTTTCCTTAAACAAAAAATTCTTCCACATTTTCCAGGAATCAGTAAATATTCAGCACTGGGAGTAAGATTACACAAGTTTTAAATATTCAGAGCAAATCTCTGACAAATTAGTGGAAACCTCACATGCAGATGTGAAAATAGTTTGGCCTCTTCTATAGTGGTCACCATCATTAAAAAAAAAAATAGTCCTTGCAGCTAGTCTTATTTAGTTCCTTTACTCAAGGATTATGTCCTCTTCACTTTTTCACCTAGTAGCTAAAATTATTCTTCTCATCTCAAATTAATATCATCCTCCTAACCAGCATTAATCTTCTTTTCTAAAGCAATGCAAAGCCTCCCTGTTTTGCGGGGTATGCTGAATTGAAAAAGCACGTCACAAAGGCTGACTGCAGAAGGATAATACATGCCTGTTTCAGTACATGAAGCATTTCTCAACCACACAAAACAGGCAGCAGCCCAGGGAATGCAGTTTGCCCAAATCCGTTGCACTTGTGTATGTGTGCTTTAGGCAAGAGAGCTCACTGTACTAAGCAGTGATCAGCTACTACATCGTCGTTCCCAAAACAGGCAAAAATTATAATGAATAATGACAACATGAGCAAAGCATTTTAATTTTGTAGACAGGAAAAACTCTCTGCCAAAGACCTTGGGTAGCTCTAGAGGAAATACTCTGCTCTGAGCAGTTTTCTAATTGAAGACCCATTCCTGCTTCTTCAATTCAGAGCAGCTCATTCTACTATTCCTGCTTCATCCCCAATTCAAAATATTAAGGAATTGGATAAATTAATAGCTTCTAAACTGTACCTTTGAATATTGCTTCCATGTTCCCCACTACTATTTGGAAATTAGCCCTAGAAAACACTAGCATTTCAGTGTCTTCACTGCATATGTTTTGAGAAAACAAGAGACAACAGCTGCGCCTGAGACAAGAAAAAGAAAACATGCTCATGTCCTAGCATTAGTGCTCATTTTCATAACTGCTAGAAGTGCAGGTAAAACACAAGGAAATCACAGCATGACCTTGATTTAATATCACATAAGATTAAATTCACTTTAATTTATGAGAAAAAGTAACATTTCCTAAAGGTATTTTTCCAAACAAGCTTCAGACCTAAGCTTACACTTCAAGCATTTCTTTTAGCGATATGCAAGTTTTCTCCTCAAAATACTCTTTTTAAAGTTATCACTATTATTTACAGCTTAGCTACATAGTAGCAACTCAGTGCACATCTGCCCTTAGAAATCACATTTTAAAGTAAAAATTAATTCCAAAATGCTTATGAAAGTCAGAGAAGACCAGTTGGTTTGGTTTTTTTAATTCTTTAGTTACTATAAGCAGACCTCGGGACTACTAGGGACCTGTGGTTGATCCCCATACAAGACAGTCCAAAATCTGTAGCTATCAATTCAACCCTTAGCATAAGGCAGTCATCAAAAAATCACAGAATTTAGATTTAAAAAGAGCTCTAAGTTAATCAAGTCCAACCTCTGACCAATCACCACTTTATCAACTACAGTATAGAACTAAGTGCCATGTCCAATCTTTTCCTGAACCATCCTCCAGGGATGGTGACTCCATCACATCCCCGGGAAGCCCATGCCAACGTTAAACCTTTTCCATGATAGAATTTTTTCTGTTATCAAAACTAAACCTCTCCTGGCACGTCTTGAGGCTATGTTCTCTTGTCCTGTCATCAGTTGCCTGGGAGAAGAGGCTGAGCCACACCTGGCTACAGCCTCCTTCCAGGCAGTTGTAGACAATGGTAGAGTATCCTAGGTCCCTGAGCCTCCTTTTCTCCAGGCTAAACACTCCCAGCTCCCTCAGCTGCTCCCCGTAGCCCTTGAGGACGAGTCCTTCTCTGGACACGCTCCAGCACCTCAATGCCCTTCTTGCAGTGAGGGGCCCAGCACTCAAGGGGTGACTTCATCAGTGCTGGGTACAGGGGGACAGTCACTGCCCTGGCCCTGCTGCTGATACAGGCCAGGGTGCCATTGGCCTTCCTGGGCACACACTGGCTGATGTTCAGTTGGCTGCCAAAAAGCACCCCCAGGTCCTTTTCCATTGGACAGCTTTCCAGCCACTTTTCGCCAAGCCTTCAGTGTTGCAGGGGGCTGTTGTGATTGAAGTGCAAGCCCCAGCACTCAGTCCTGTTGAACCTCATAGCACAGGCCTCAGTACATCAATCCAGCCTGTCCAGATCCCTCTGCAGAGCCTTCCCACCCTCCACCAGATCAGCATTCTCATGTAACTTAGTGTCATCTGTGAACTTACTGAGAGTACACTCAATCCCCTCATCCAGATCATGAATAAAGGTATTAAACAGAACTGGCCCCAACACTGAGCCCTGAGCACTTGTGACTGAACACCAACTGGATATGACACCATTCACCATCACCTTCTAGTCTGGCCATCCAGGTAGTTTTTAACCCAACAAAGAGTACACCTGTCCAACCCATGGGCAGCCAGTTTCTCCAGAAGAATGCTCTGGGAAACAGCCAAAGGCCTTACTAAAGTCCAGGTAGACACATCCACAGCTTGCCCCTCATGCATGTCACCCAGTTTTCTAAACCAGACTGGCTGGGCCTGACCCCTTGACTCTCCTGTAAGTGCCATGTGATCACACTCAAGATAACCTGTTCCAGAACCTTCCTAGACAGCTAGGTCAGGCAAACAGGCCTGTAGATCCCCAGATCCTTCTTCTGGCCCTCCTTGTGGATGGATGCCATATTGGCCAACCTCCAGTTGACCTTCCTGGATAGCCAGGACTGATGCTAAATGACAGAGAGCAGCTGTGTGAGCTCTTCCACCAGCTTCCTCAGCACACTTGGATGAATCCCATCCAGTCCCATAGACTTAGGAGTGCCTAAAAGG